AATATTTCCATATTCACGGGTGCACGTGTGGTTGAACGCCGAATCCTCGTTTTCCATAATTATTTCCCCTTCTCCCACATCCTTTTCATAGTGAATGGCTAGTAAACGAACTGCTTGAAGTGCTGAGGATGCGGAATCACGCTGAAAGCCCGTTAATCGAGAGCATCGCCGGCGTAAAAGGGATCAACGCAAGACGAAACCCCATTTTGCAGCGTAATGACCGATAAGAGACGTGATCGTCGCGGGTTGAGGCCCAGGAGTGGAACAAGCCTGTCATGACTCGCACCGGAAATGTCTCGGGCCAGATGCGACGGAGAACAAGGGAAATACACGCATCTTGGCCGGAACACGTCAACCCCGCAAACCCCGCAAGAAGGCCGGCTCGTGATTAAATGATGAAGAAAATATTTCCCGAACTTTCTCCTTCAGTGATTCTAAGCTGCAGAGCTGCCAAGTTGTTACGGATAGAGGTGGCCTGGGCAATCGCTACTGCCGGAGACTATTAACATACTCCCGGTGAGAACGGAAGTCTCAAATTTTCCCGAAGTGTCTGGGATTTTGCCCTCCCCTGCGAGAGATTTCTGGTTTCCCTCATTTTATCGTTCGTGTCCAGTTCGCTGCCTTGTTTCTTTTGTTTCTCCCATTTTCCCCCTCGTGTCTTACGTTCTCCATGTGTGGCTTGTGGTTGTCTGTTCCTTCAATGAGCTATAACCCCCCTCTCCCTTTTTTTCCGGAGCGGTTCATTCAGTTCACATTCGCCTTGAAACTCTTTCGCTTTAAAGTCCAAGAACGCCCGAAAGCAGCCGCAATGAATCACAAACTCCTCGAGCCGCCCCGAAAAAAAAGGAAGAGACGCTCAAATGGGTTATGGGCAGTCGCTTGAAGCCGAGGAGCACATGTTGTGCGGTTTCCGAAAGAAATTTCCCAGTTCATGTATTTCGTTTTGAGTAGTTGTCAGAAAACGCCTGTCACGCGAAACATCTCCGTCAACGAAATCGATTAGCTTCGACTAAGTTCGTGTATGCTTTTTCGAATGCAGGGCTGCAAAATTCCGTTTCCTCGCCGTATTTCGACCCTTCTTCGGAACACTTTCCACGGGAAAATGCGCGGCCAAAAATGGGAGACTGAACGGAACGCCATTTTCTGCAGGAATGTGAGACACACGTGCAAGTTATTTCGAGAGAAACGTCAGCCAGAAAATTTCAACGGTGATGCGATTTCGCTGATAATGATTATTTTATTTTTCTGTGCTTCACGTTGAAAAGCATGAGTCGAGTAAAAATGCTACCACGAGAATTTTCGTGAACGCTTTTCTTGTTTATCATCTCATCAAGCTGATAAAACTTTCTACAAACAGCAGACTATTTGTTATTGCAAAAAATCCAAGAAGTTGTATCAAATGAGAATTGAGTCCTATTCTTGTGTGTGCAATGCATACGTTTTGCCAGCCTGTTTCTCTCGTTTTTAGGTCTTCTTGAATGGACGGGAACGGATGAAATTTTATCAAGAATTATTTGATGATGCCCTGACCTATACTCGAATCAGCAACCAAAGTCGATTAGGAGAGAAGACAGTAAATTGAAAGAGTGCCCCATCATAACAGGGGCGACAAGCATTATGATTCAAAAAGTTGGGCATAAAAAAAGTCATTTCGAGACACTGTTCATGAAGAACATATGAACCCTTCCGTGTACTGTACCTACTTGTCTTCTTAAAATAAGGTCTTGTGGAGTTTTTATTTATTTTTTTCCTCAAGCATTCCTGAAGTTGACTGATTGAGTGAACGCCCGCAGGCAAAATTGTGTGTGTTCCTCAAAAGAAAGTCGATCCGCACGTACGCGAAACGGTTCTCCGAGGCGACAAAGGGAGTGTGTATTAGTACCGGCTACACGCAGAAAAATTGTTCGAAATTTACACACTCCGAGAATCCTGAACTAGGTTGCAACGCTGCTTATAACTCCAGGATGTGCAAACGTTGGGGCCCGAAGTCGGCCTCAGTTCGGAGGCGCTTATTAAACACGGCGGGATGATGCGTGGGAACCGAAGCCCCTGCGTAGGTGGGTAACTTTTTCCCTCTCTCTCTTTCTCTCTCTCTCTCTCTCTCGCGTTCTCCCTCTCTCTCTCTCTCTCTCTCTCTGCAATCTTCCATTAAACTAGCAAGAAGCCTCGGACATATCGTGGCAGCGATGATCGCCGTCATCGTTTAATGAATAAGCCCCCGAGGGACGAAAAAATTTCCCCCTTCTCCCATATGCCCCGCTCATGTATGTGATGGTCACGGTAGCTCGAGTTGCTCAACACCTTCTGCCGCACGGGAAATGAGAATAGTCGGCGAGCGGAACTTCCGTGCGCGATTTTCCTGTTTCTTCACGCGGTGATCATCGCGGTTGAGAAAAGATCGTTTTCGCGCGAGGGGGACTCATCCACGGTGGCGGGCATCCGGGTCTCGCTCATATCTGGAGAAAAACTCATTTCAACTTACCCTATTGAAGCGTGCATCGCATGCCGAACATCTTCACCCAGATGAATGCCCTGGAAAGGCTGCGGTACGGCCTGTATATACACTACAGAAACTCGATTATAGGCCGCAACCCAGTCTCACCTATGCCGCGCATGCTGCTCGAGATCCTACGTAACATGTACTGTACTGGGTTGAAAGTGAACCGATGTAGCTGAGTATAAGAAGTCTGAGGATGGTTTCTTGAGCATAGGCCAAAAAGCAGCGCAGTATTTTCTGGAAACCGAAAAAAATTAGGCTCTACACTGGTGACTTCTCTTCTCACCTTGAACATGCACATCTCGCGTATGTGTGCATCATTTGGCCGCGTACGTGAGAATGCGGCCGAATGATTCTTACAGTAAATTGCGCTTGAATATGTTAGTCATGTCCATTTTCATTATTAGAACGCAGCGGGTATCGTATTTTCGCGCCAATATAGGCAGTGTAATATTATATAGGCCACGCCCTGGTTTTTGGCATCAATTTAATTTAAAGCTTTTTTCCCGCCCAGAAAATGAACTGCAGCATTTCCCTGGATTTGAACCAGTGTCTAAGAATTCCGTATTGTCCATTTTTCGAAACACTGTACTGGGGGAAATTTGCAGATTTTGCCTGCGGAAAGACCGCATTCCCTCCAAAACTATCTTCTTTTTTCGCAGCTTTTGAATATCCCTCTCCCCGAAATTTCAACTCAAATTTCCGGGTGCGGCCTATACGCTGCGCGTGCGAATACTGTACAGTACTTGTGTGGTAGCCACGTACTGTCTGTTGGCTAAAACTCAGAAAGAACTGCATCATATTTACGGCATCTGCATGGGGGACATCGAATAGATCACAGCAGAATTTTTGGCAGTGAACCGTGATTTATGAAGTTGGCAGAAGAAATGTGCCAGAAACACGAGCAAAATTTCTAATGTTCCCAAAAATATGTAACCCATAATTGAGGCTCGATGAGAAAAAATGGATCCCAGAGGAAACTATTTGCTAATCTTGTTGTAATGCGTTATGCAAACGTAATTTCTCATTTTTCTTGCAGATGACGAAGAATCGCGAACAAAGGCAAAATAAATGATGCGGTTTGCGGCCTATACAAGTATTGTACTCGATTATCTCGAATGTGAGTCGCATTCGCGTTTTAAGGAGCACTTTTTGAAGAAAAAGTGCGGGTTATAGCGGCCGATGAGCACAAAAAATTTCAAACTGTACTTATTTTCTCGGTGTCTGACTTTTGAAGAGCTTCAAAAAATGCATCCTTTCATGACGGGAGAATATGAGTCTATGTCGCAATCGGAACGATAAATGAAGACTTCGAAGAGAACTTGACTTGAATTTCCTTGACTGGCGGTAGGAGTGTTTAAAAAATTGAGGGCGCCTGCGAGGAAATGCCCCGCTGTTCGATTCCCAGCGGTCCCTCTCCCCGGCAGTTCCCAGGCGCAATACTCGGGAAACGGGAAATCTCCGTCGCCCACTCTTCGCTCACTTTTCCTGATTATTATAAGGCCCCGACTTTCCCGTGATGATGAAAACCAAGCCAGATTTCGGGATGCGAAACTCCATTTCCGCGATTTACCCCGTTTTCTTGCCCTTCCCACTACGCAACGCATCTCGACATTTTCCGAGTTTTTTTCTTTTCTTCGGATATTTCGTATTCCGAAGAGATCGCCGATGCTTCGACATATCCTCGGATTTCCTCCGCACTCTACGATGCAGAATTGCTGACGCGTGAGAAAATCTGAACTACTTGGCCCCCATACTTCGAATTAAAGCACGTCGAACAACACGCACAAATGCAATGACCTTTATTCGGCCATGTTATTCTGAGAGTAAACATCATAATGTATATTTCGGGAATTACAGTAAATGAATGAAAATATCTCATTAACGCGGTTGCATATGCAGCAATTGATTCCCACGGATGCCTCTAATAACTTCGATGGCCATACATGCATGACGTATTCGAATATGGGTCGCACTGCAATCTCACATATGCGTGTCATATTCCAAAGAATCTGACCCATGCAAAAATAATGGTATAACGCAAATGCATACAGCGCATTAAAATGTGAAATTATCCAGCTTTTCCCTTCCTTTCAAGTTCTTACAACTGTGCTTTGCTGCCATCAAGCTATAAAATCAAATCAATTTCGTAAGCTGGACTTCATCGGTATAAATGCCGTATTATTTCTGCATGATCGACAGTCTTTCCCGATGAGTTGGCCACATTTTTCAATTTTTAGTTCTGAGCAGTGTGGACCCACTCTCCTTCACACGCTGCTCAAGTTATGTGTGCGGCTTACAATCGCGTAAAAGCAGTAAATGCATCATTCGTAAGATCGTTCTAATTTTCGGTGTGAATGCTGAGTGATTATTGACAATTAAATCAAGATTCGTCAGTATCACATCCGTCGTCCATTATTGTGAATGAAATGGTTTCTCCGGACTGCACTTGAGGGTAAAAATGAACGAAATTAGCAGCATATTTTAAAAATAAAATCAGCCGTTTCCAAAATGTGGTTATATCCGGCAGGCATAAAAATACAATGCGATCCACAACAAACGGAACTTCGGAAAGCAACACTGAAGTAATTCTGGAGAGTTAAGGAATCGCTCGCACTTGAATAATGAGCGTGAAAGTACTGCAATGTACTTCAATTGGAAGAGGATCTTTTTTTCCCCCAGAAGTTCGGAAGACTCGGTCACTATTGAACAAGAGAATGTATCACATGCACTGTAAGCTCAGGAAGTGTTCCTTGTAAGGATGCTGTATATATCCAGTGTGCATCAACTTCTCTTCCAAAATAGCTTAAAATTAAACAGTGTACAAAAAATCGGATGCAAAATCTAAAGCTAAATGTGAGGGTTTAGTGCAGGTGCTGCACTCGAGGCATACGTGAGGGTTATTGCACCCGGCAAAATCCCAATAAAGGCCACTCAATAATGAATTCGGAAACTTCTTGATCCCGCCATAGCCACTCAAAATGGGTCATTCGGTAAGGAATGTTACACATTGACGCACCTAAACATGTGTTTGTACAATTGGATTAATGTATCGACTAAAAAATCTCATTCATACGAGAGGTTTGTAAGTCGAGTTTTAAGCTGGCATCTTTCATGATAAAAAGATTCATCCGTCATCCGATGTTATATTTAGCTTTTTTCGGACATTCTACAAAAATCAAATGTGTGGATAAAAAACGTGAAACATGTGTTCAGAGGACGTTATCCAAGCAAGTCCTAAGTCCAAAAAGAAGTGATTTTCACATTTTTCGCAGACTTTGGGGCATCATTAGTTCAGGACGGTTATGCAGGAGGGTATAGAAGTAAATGGCACGTTCAAGCCTGAGCACCTATATCGGCAGTCACAGGGTGGTATGTGCGTGAATATTGCATTGCGGAATTGATAGACGGTCTATCACAAAGTAAGACACCGTGAGCCACTGCAGTGTGTGTCAATAGCCTGCAAATTGAGCTTTCGCTGAGTGTCATTCTGTTGGAAGACTTTCTCCTTTTCCTCCCTAGCCGCTTGAAATGCTGATGCAGCAGGGTCAATCTTGTGTTTCATATTCATCACTTCGCTAATGGATACATTTTCGAGCTCCAGCTCTTTCAATACAAGAGCTTCGAGCTCAAACAAATGGTCATCCTTCGTGGCAGGGAATGTGACGCGCATGAAATCTGCAAGGCGCAGGACGTACTCAGCATTGTGTCCAGCAGCTCCTTGACTCCTGGCCACTTGTGCAGCAAGTGTTGAGAGGTCAATTGGCCCCAACCATTGCGGGCTGTCAGGAGTTGCCATGTACACCATAACTTGGACCTGCTCTGCAATGACTGTGCTGTCCTCCAGGGGCCAAAACCAAGTAAGCACGTGCGTGTAGCCACCCAGTGCACCTTCGCGTTGCTCCAAATACTCATAGGCAATTTCATCCTTCAGCTCGTATGCTTTACCCCATGTTACACCCTGAAATAAAAAAAAATCCGTTATTTCATCAACGTCCGGTACGACGTCAGGCGCGTTAATTAAAGCGTAGCATTTTTACGTCCATTTTAGGGGCAACACAAAGGGCACGAGTTCATAGGTAGAATACGTGCTTCATGTGCGAAACATTTCTCATCATAAATGTGGAATAATATTTTTTAAAGTATTGGAGTTAAATTATCCGTTAGGGTCCTAAAAAGAGCAATATTTTTGCACTTGCATAATATCCTACATCGACGAGTAAAGTCTTTATGTTTCGAAAATATTTCAGTAACTCGTTCAACGTCAGATCATAGAAGTTTCCCGACGGTATTGTATGCCTTACTTTCAACAATTACGGGGCCCAGCAGATTACGGAAGATTATTCATGACTCATGATCGTGAGTTATTTTTGATGGTGCTTCCAAATTTAATTGATTGCATTGACCGGTTAGGAGACACTCACTTCTGGCTCCTTGACCAATGTGGCCACTCGCCCCGGCTGGAACAGAACAATGGAAACATTCTTGATTGATCGTACTTTTTCTCACTAGCAAGCAACGCATTGTTCACCTTGCCAGGACGACCCCGGTGGGCCGTATTACCCTGCCAGAAGCGTCGTGAGAAACCCTTGATGTAGCCCGCGATTTCTTTTTCGTAGGGAAACCCAGGGTACCAGCACAAAGATCCATAACCGAATACCCACAGCCGTTTCCCTTGCCTCTTCTCCGTTTTCATCGGCATATGATTTTGAGCCATCATGAATCCACGCATCAAGTTTTCAACACTTCACTGCTCACTGCACTGCTGGGTGACAAACGCGTGAAAGAACAAAAAACACTTGCACGGACAGAAACGCTTTGTGAACTGGGGAAGGAATTGAAAGTAACAAAGGGAGTCAAGTCAAGGAAAGGAAGACCAGTGGGATGCCGAAATTCTCTGCTTTCCGCCTAGAAAATTACCTACAGTCTTGTGTATTCGAGCGCGTCATTTGTAGCGAAAAGGGGAAGGAAGAGGAGCACTGAGGGAATCGGGGAATCGCGCTCACTGCTCCTCAAGAAACTCTTCCAGCAAACATTTCATATTTTTTGCGCAATATTTCAAGAATTTGGAAACATTCTTCGTAAACTTTAATTAATTAATATTGACTGAATCGAAGTAAATTTTATTGGAAAAGTCAGGCTTCATTCATAAACAGCAATTTCAATTTACTGAAGATATGCATTTTTTATTGATTTTAAATGACTGAGCTCTTCAAACTTTCTGCGATTCCTTGATCATGTCAAGGTTCGAAGTGGAGCATAAAATTCTCCGTTTTTTTTTTTTTTTTTTTTTTTTTTTTTTTTTTTTTTTTTTTTTTNGAAGTGGAGCATAACTTTCTCCTTTTTTTTTTTTTTTTTTTTTTTTTTTTTACCACAGAACTTCAATGATTCAGATCCAACCAGATCAATGGAAGCGTGGGAGAAGAATCAATGGTTTCCCCACGACGTAAGTTTGGTTCAACTTCTATGATTGAATACAAAATATGCAGATAATCATCTCCAGTCAGCCTATTTGACCTAGCACAGCACACTTCACACGCTTGAAATTCCCGGTAGAATCATGACGAAGAGCTCGGGGTCGCTCCGGTTTGAAAAATAGGCGAAATGTCAAAGCCCATAGGTTTGTTTCAAAAGAAATAAAACATTATTGACTTTTACTCATGCATGAGATGGGCCAGCGTTCTGGGCAAGTCTTGTAACTTTTTATTGGAAAATTTAGGATATAATGTGGCTTAATGGTATTTTTGTATTATAAAGCTGTCTTGGAACGACCATAGTCATTCAATCAATAAACTTCGCTTCTATTGTTCTGCATAATTTTAGTACCCTGTACTCATATTTTATTTTTTCTGCTGAAATTTTCACGGTCAAACCTTCATACGAAGAACAAGTAAACAGTTTTGCAAAAGCAACCCGACTTGCTCTTTCAATGTTCTCGAAGGTGAAGTGAGGATTTGTTTATTTCAACACTGTGCAACGAAATTCATCTTAGCTTCAGGGAATGTTCATTAATATAAGACAGTGATTCATTGCGATCATTATGATTCATCAGGCATTATCTGGAAACTAAATACACGCTTATTGATCTTCTCAGCTAAAAAAACAGGGGTCATCTTGATGCAGAGTTGATCGAGAAAATTTATAATGGATTCTAGTACTTTCAGGCCATGCGTGTCTTCGCACCAGTACCTCCTGAGCGTTCCACCCGACCAATCAGCACTACTGGGCGAGTGGAATTCAGAGTCCTTGACTCCAGGGCAATTCTGCGTACCCCCTGCCAGGTGCCTGAGTACCACCAATGGTACGCGTAAAAGGCCTAGATCGTGCGGGGATTGTGCGACCCCATGCTCCAGTGAAAATATTCTAGCACATTTACTCGAATACGAGATTACGCCATTGAGTCAAGGGTATAAGAATGTATCCGTATTTTTGTTTCAATCAAAATTTATTACAATAACGCTTGTGTATCTAAGACATACAGTACTTCTATTCTTTTTCAGCAGAATTCGAGGAAACTGTTGATAGCTCTTCGGGAGACACATTTGAGTAATCCAGAACTAACTCAACTTTCTGCGTCATTTCCTTTGTAATCAATGCTCTGAATCGGGATAATATATCAATGGCAGTAAAAAGTACATAGGGACGCACTGACATGCGAGCAATTTGACTTATGGACAATTTAAGGAAAAAATGAAATAAAAGGTAATTCCCCAACTACATCAGGACAACTTCACACTAGAACTTCCAGAAGAAGCGAAAAGTATCATTCTCTAAATTATTCTTACTGTAGAGTAAAATACAGCCACGAATGTTTCAGTACAACAAACTTTTTCCAAGTCCTGGCCGAAATCCTATAGGGTACATTTCATAAAAATTTCATTGCAACAAACTTGCCATTTCCAGTACATTATATCAAACTTTTTTGACAAACATTTTATGATTTCTTAATGAAAAATCCCAAATGAAGGCAGGCACAGTCTCACATTTCCCATTCAAAATGTGACTGTGACTGATCCTTGGAACATAAGGTGGATTCAAAAAAATGATTCAAAATTTACCTCTCTCTATTTATTTATTCTCTATATTTACCTATCCTCTCTTTCAAAAAATGTGCCTAGGTTAGGAATGATGGGGGGGGGGGGCAGTTTGGATGGAAAAAATGAACCCAGCAAAACTCATGTTTAAAAGGGTTTGTATGCTTGAGAAACCCTAGTGCTGTAAAAATTGTAAGCAATTTAGGAACATACACCCTTAAAAATCTCTGCCAGAATATGCTTAGAAAAATGCAAGAAAAAAGATGATGATTATTTCATGAAAAACCTTAATTTATATTTAAAACTTTCAATTATTTGGAAGCAGTAACTTACGTGCTCATCCGTCCCAAATGCCTCAACATGCGAAGAGCCTTCAACACGCACCCTGATATTTTTTTTAAGCCATTTTGGTGAATAACGTGGGTATTTGTAAACGAGTAAATGCTGTATTCTTTTTGTTTTCTTCCGTATCGATTCTCGCCTTATATTTTTCTTGACGGTTGAATTCGGATGGTAAATTATTTTTGCTCAACGTTTATGGATAAAAAATGAGTCTCCAAAGCGTTTCGGAATTACAAGCACAACACTCAACCAGGCAGCTCCAAACGGAAAGCTGTCGATGCGCGAACTAGCAAAACTAACAACCCTCAACAATGTTTCACTGACCGGCTATAAACGCTGACGCTTCGTCAGACAGAAGTACATTCCGACGAGAGCCCTGCTAATACCGTATCCTCTACCAGCGACGTCAGAAGTTCTATGCGACACGGACCGACGAGATCGGACTTGCGCATACACGTCGCCAATAATAAAAAAATAACTTGATAAAAATACTAGCTAGGTAAAACCACGCGTGGAGCTCGTGACGAGAACAGTCTCAGTTAAGGAAAAAATCTGCCTTTTTAGAGCTTAATTGATAGAGCTGACAACCGACTCACTTCGCCGCCGGGCTGAGTCAGCGATAGAAAACGACTCCCATGCTGCGCACACAGCCCGCAATGAAAACGGAACGGGTTATATTTGGGTGTGACAGCAGACCTTCGGATCATCCGCTGAGCTACGACCTATACTTTTCATCGCCCGAGCACGCAAGGAAGTACTGACGCACAAACTCACAGGTTTCATGCTAGTTTTAGATAAACAACCAGGAAATTGGGGCGTCTAACGAAATTCACGCGCCTCGTTTCCCTGCACTGACAGAGACACTCCGTATACCCTTCACATTACATAAAGAGACATCTGTCCCGGGATTCGTTCCACCGAAATAACCGGACTTGGCTCCGAAGACTCGACTGAACCTCCCATGGCTCAATCGGCGATTAAAACCGAGGAACCCCGGAAGTAATTTTGTTGACTCGATGACGTCATCCAAAACCCTCAAAACATTGACCACGCTCAAGTCACGCACTTGCTGAGACGCAGGAGGAAGGCCTTAAAACGCGTAATATCCGACGGAAACGAGACACAATCCACCTTCCCGAGCACTGAACTGTACCCGTCGTTGAATTCTTCGGGGGATGTGAGATGACGCGTATCAAGGGTATTTCCCTCGGAAGTTCTTGGAAGTCGACGCTCGCCACGAGAGCCTGGCGCAATCGTAAGACTAATCGATGCTTCCGAGATGTGCATTTATCAGTCTGCATGGGTAGGCGCATATCAATGGTGCAGCGTTAATTTTATCCAGAAGTTCCGTAGATGTCACTCGCATCGCTTCACCAGTGACCCTGTCCCACAATTAAGTGCATGATGGGAATTCTTCTTCAGCATTTACGATGCAAAGAGCGAAGTCATCCAGTAGAGGCAAGATGGCGGTTATTAATGGCTGCAAAATCATTTGTTTCAACTTCTTTAAACTGCTGTTTTCGAAAGTTTTTTTTTTTTCCAAGCCGAGAAAATTATGGGTACATCCATTGCCTCCGTAGCCTGTGGTCCGTGGACCGGCGCCGGTTCGCAGAAGTATTTTGCTGGTCTGCGGGAAATTTTCTTCGGCATAATAAATTCATCAAAGGGCAGTAATAATCAGCTTTCTAATTCGTTGAAGACATCCCAATATAGCTACTTCATTGTTTTTTAAATTAATTTCTGAAATGGCAGGTATTTAAGAAAATTTCTGCTGGTCGGGAAACGCTGGTCCATAGGGTTTTCGAGCAATAAGATGATTACAGGACGCACTTGCTCCATCGAAAATGTTCTTCCTTCTAAAATCTTGAACGCAACCGTTATCCGCGATATACAAGGACAAATCACAGCATACTGTAACGTATTCGACATGAAGTAAATTGAAAAATGCAGGGGGAAATAGAGCACGCAAAAATCCTGCCAACGGAAAAGTACCCATGAGGTTTTTCTCCCACGTCATTTCTTAATCTTTTCCCACATGGAGTTATTTCTAGAATCAACAAATTTTCGGCAACGCCTGTTTATCCATGCAATCATCTAAATCTCGAAGAAATTTCACGAACCATATGTAAGCTATTTTTAATGAGTGGTTAATACCAGATATTTTTCTTATTTTTATAATTTTTGCGCCCTGTCCATTTTATTTCCATGAGATGGCGTTTAAAATCAAGGGTGAAAAAGCACTTTACAAGTTAGCGAACTACAGTACATTTAAATCCGAAAAGAAAATATGCAGTCACGAATAGATAAATATCAAATGGATTCAGTTTGTGATTGAGTGGACAATCAAAAACTGCTCGCTCATGTGTGATGCTTGCTTGAATTGCGCATGTACACATGTTGATGCAAAATCGGATACTTTTTCACGTTTCCTCGATCATTGCGAGATTGGTT